AAGGAATATTCCTGGGGCACCTGGGTGACTCAGTTGGCTAAGTGCCTTGGGCTCAAATCATGATCCCAGGGTCCTGGGATTGAGCCCCACATCAGGCTCTCTGCCCAGCGGGGAGCCTGCTTCTCCTTCTCCCTCTGCATGCTGCTCCCCCTGCTTGTGCTCTCTCTCTCTCGCTATCTCTCTGACAAATAAATAAATAAAATCTTAAAAAAAAAGAAGGAATATCTCAAGCAGCTGTCAAAACTCCCTTTGTTTTGGGATAAATCTGTCTTCTCCAGCTGGATGTGGACTGCCTATTCCCTCTTGTTGGCAGGAAAACATGGCATCTGCTCTCTGTTGAGCTGAAGAGCTCTAGAATGGGGAACCCTTTCTCTGCCTCTGGCAGCACTTTGCCTCTTCGGTCTCCCCTTTCCCCTCCCTTTTGTTTCTGTACCACCTTGGGTGCAGCCTGCATAACTGGCTTCTAGACCACCCTGAGTGCCTCTGGCACCATGGCTCCTCCGCCTCCCCTCGCTGTCCAGGAGCAGAGCATACTCTGGATTTAACACTGCCCACTTCAGATTTCCCCACCAGTCTCTCAGGTAAAAATTAACAATGGGGAGCAAACTCACTGACTTTTAAAAGCGGATCCCGGTGGAACATAGCTCGGTATTTCAACTAAGTTTTTTGGTTTATTTAAGGTAGACCTGTCTTTAGAGTTATCAGCATTTTATTCTACCAAAATTTACTGAAGGTCAAATAAGCTCGTGTTATCTCTGTTGCAATTTTATTTTTTTTAAAGATTTTATTTATTTATATGATAGAGAGTGAGCAAGCACAAGTAGGTAGAGCGGCAGGCAGAGGGAGAGGAGAAGCAGGCTCCCCTCTGAGCAGAGAGCCCGATGCAGGGCTCCATCCCAGAAACTGAGCCGAAGGCAGACGCTTAACCAACTGAGCCACACAGGCGCTTCTCTGTTGCAGTTTTAGTAAAAAGATGACTAAAATCATGATTAATGGTCTGTCTCAAAATTTTCATGGGTAATTGTTAAGATAGCTTTCAAAGTCTTTGGTAACCTGAAACTTTAAAATTTTGCTTGGATGATAAATTGGATTGAATTCATTGGACATCTAGGTCTTTTACAAATAGGATAAAGTGCTAAAGCATTGATTACTGGATGTAGGTTTGTGCTTTTGACTTTTTTTTTTAAGATTTTATTTATTTATTTGACAGAGAGAGACACAGCAAGAGAGGGAACACAAGCAGGGGGAGTGGGAGAGGGAGAAGCAGGCTTCCTCGCTGAGCAGGGAGCGCCCGATACGGGGCTCGGTCCCAGGACCCTGGGATCATGACCTGAGCCTAATCAGACGCTTAACGACTGAGCCACCCAGGCACCCCAGCTTTTGACTTCTTATTGCAAATAAACTAAGGATATTTAAGTCTGTTGGTAAATCTGCTTTGTGCCTAATAGATTCATAAAATTGCCATCTAAAGAATTCTGGTGTGACAGTTCACAATTGGTTACTACTTAGTTTTCACAGGAGACTAAGGTCTCTAAGAGTTAAAATTCTGCTAAATATAATTAAGACTGATGGAAATAAGGGAAACATTGTTAAATAATAAGCCTTAAGTTGTATTGCTTGGGTAAAAGCTCTAATTATTCTAGAGATGATATGCAGTTCCTAAAGTTTTAATGTGTTCTGGTATAAGGCCATTACTTAATATTCTGATTACTTAAGTGTTGTGTGTCACAGAAATAACCAGATTTCCTTGCCAGCTATGTTGTATTGTTACCTCTCATCAAATCTTTAACCCTGTCCATTTTTGCAAAACGTGTTTCATCTCAAGGGGATTCATAAAAAGGGCTTTTGACAAATACAGGTTTTTTTTTTTTTTTTTTAAAGATTTTATTTATTTATTTGAGAGAGAGAGAGCATGAGAGGGGGGAGGGTCGGGAGGGTCAGAGGGAGAAGCAGACTCCCTGCCGAGCAGGGAGCCCGATGTGGGACTCGATCCAGGGACTCCAGGATCATGACCTGAGCCGAAGGCAGTCGCTTAACCAACTGAGCCACCCAGGCGCCCCCAAATACAGGTTTTTATTATCTTTAAGATCATAAAATTGAAATGGGTAAGAATTTCCAGAACCAGCTAAGCTGAGGATGATTATAGTTTGACTCTGGTTTAAAACATTGGTTCTCTAATATTTATTCTTCCAGACTAAGGAAACTTTCTCTTAAGACATCAATGATATACAGAAATAATAATAAAATAAATTAAAGCCTTTAACTTTTCTATCTGAACCCTCTGAAATTCAAAGGATCTCCATAAGTATTCCTTCTTTCATCAAGTACAGTCATTTGCATAAGTTCATTAAGAATCTGTTCTTCTTGGGCACCTAGGTGGCTCAGTGGGTTAAGCCTGTCTTCGGCTCAGGTCATGATCCCTGGGATCGAGTCCCGCGTCTGACTCCCTGCTCAGGGGGAGTCTGCTTCTTCCTCCACCCCCACCCCTGTTCGTGATCTCTCTCTCTCACTCTTTCAAATAAATAAAAATCTTAAAAAAAAAAAAAAAAAGAATCCGTTCTCCTTGTAAGAGGACACCATGGGAAACATTGGTTATTCTACCAAGACTTTGACAGGAATGTCATATTTGAGAGACTTGCATAGACTCATATATGACCATACAGCTTTTTTTTTTTTTTTTAAGATTTTATTTATTTTTTAGAGAGCAAGCAAGAGAGAAACAGCACGAGAGGGGAGAGGGTCAGAGGGAGAAGCAGGCTCCCCGCTGAGCCGGGAGCCCGATGTGGGACTCGATCCCACGACCCTGGGATCATGACCTGAGCCGAAGGAAGACGCTTAACCATCTGAGCCACCCATGCACCCATGACCATACAGCTTTAAGGAACTAAGGTTGACTTTATGAAGCATGGAGCCAATAGAGTCCCTTGTAAATGTTGGCCTGATACCTTGCTTACAGAGTTCCCAGCAGCCCTACCAGGTGAATAGAGAATGTTACTTCGTGGAAGGTGCAGGACCCTCAGGATATACTGGGGACCCTGAGAAGAGGAATTTGTCTAGATATCCAGGTATGCCTAGCAAGCACTTGGCTTGGTTTCCGGCCCAGAGAAGCTACTAAAAGTTCAACTTAGAGATTCCTTATAAAAAGTTCCAGGAAAGATTTAATTTTATTTATTTATTTATTTTAAAGATTTTATTTATTTGAAAGAGAGAGTGCGAGAGAGAGCGAGCAAGCATGAGTGGGGGGCAGAGGGAGAGGGGGAAGCGGTCTCCCCGTTAAGCAGGGAGCCCGATGTGGGGGCTCCTGGGATCATGGGATCCTGGGATCATGACCAGAGCTGAAGGCAGACGCTTAACCGACTGAGCCACCCAGTCTCCTGGCAAAGCAGATTTTAAAACATCTATATGATCAATCACTTCTTGCTGAGCTTATATAAATCATTAGGCCAAATCTGTTAAAATTGGACTTATTTCACAATGAATTAGTCCTGATTTGGCTATCTCTGATTAAAAAAAAATGTTTCAATAACACATCTTTGTAGATACTCAATCTTAAGCATTGAGACTCAGGAAAACTGGAATGGGGATTGCCCCAAAACAACCAGTAGGATTAAGTCCTTTTGAGTTAGTATATGGAAAACGTTTTCTCACTGTAGACCTATCAAAAGATGGAGAATATAATGCTCTGTTAAATTATTCACTTGAGGCCGGGTTAACTCATAAATCTCTAAATGAATATGCAAACCATATCCTCCCTAAACTTGATCTTACAGTCACTAGCAACCCACCCCATGTAAACCCTGGAGACAGTTTATTTAAAGGATTGTGATGAGGGAACAGAAGGCAAGCTGAGGACAAAGCAGAAGCTGACCACCCCCCAGCCCCCCACATGGGATATATATGACATTCCTCAGACACTCCTGGCTGCCCTATAGCTAAAGAAAAACAAATATTGTAGAGATCACAATCCTGCAAGAAAGGAGTCTCCCTCAGTTTAGAAATGTCTTAGCAATATACAAGAACAAAGCAGTTCTATCAATAACCTAGCTTCCAGAAAGAAATGTAGATAGAATTAAATGCCTTTAGAACCTGCAGCCCATTGACAAGATACTTGAAGCAGACAGAGTGTAAAGTTCCTCCAGGAAGCTCCCAACTATCTCAATGTTAATGCCTTGCTAGAAGGAAATAAAAAACAACCCTTAATTTGACAATGGCAAGGCCTCTGGTATATTGTAGGTCCTGTTTAGCATATGAAAGTTCTTTTGAAATCCTCCCTTTTCCTTACTTCCCCTAAGTCCCAGGTATAAAATCAGCCACCCCCCACAACCCTGGGACAGCAGCTCTTTCTGCCCTCGGGTGCTGAACCACCATTTTGCACCAGACTCTCAAGAATTCTGTCTTGGTCGTGGGCTCCGGACTCCAGCCCACCGAACCTTACCTATATTCCAAAACCATCAGGAGGCTCTAAAATGCCCCAAGGAGAGTGGCACTTTCCCTTGTACCAAGTAGCAGGGTGTGTGTGTGTATGGGGGGCGGAGGCCGAATGCAAATACAGAATGGCTTAGCGCTAAATCCAAAACGAGAGGAAGCTGATACACTCTTAAGATTAACCACGAAGGGAATTTAATCCCTCGAGGGGGGCCTACTTATTGCTTCCCACAGCTGCAACTAATCGAGGATGGGGTCCACGTCACCAGGCACTCTCCAAAGTCCTCCGGTCTTCATCAGCGATAAGCCCAAGGGGTCTGGAGGGAAAGCGGGGACATTTCATCAGGACTGCGCGGGAGAGTGGAGTCCCCCAGGTGTCTGGGCGGGAGAGTAGAGCAGGACCCCTACTCCAACCAGGCCTCTACCCAACAAAAGTAGGCGGGGCTCACAAAGTGGGCGCCCAGGCCGGGTTCAGGAAGGCTGAGCGCCTGCCCTCGCCGCGCTCTCGCAAGCTCTCAGATTTCCCGGGCGCTCTGCTTGCCAACAGCCTGCCGTCTGGTTTCCAAGGCGTCGCGCCGGAAGTGACCTCACGACGGTGGCGTGGAGTCGCGGGGCGCTTCCGGCCGCGGCGTGGGGGTGGGTGTGGAGAAGCCCCTCAGCCTCCGGGTCTTCTCCTGTTGCGGGGTCGACGTGGCGAGGTGTGCGGAGGAGGCGGCGGCCAGACGGCGTGGAGGTGGGAACGAGGGGGCCGTTGGGCTGTGGGCGCTGGCGGGAGGGGGCTTCCGGGGTTGCCAGACGCATTTGCTTTTAGGCTTCGGGTTCCAGGCCTTGTAGACTTTTATCGAGGCGGGCGCGAGCTCGGGGCCAGGCCCTAGGGGTTTCCTCAGGGGGTATGGTTTGAGGTGGAAGACTGAAGGCAGCAGGATTCTAAATAGCCTGGGAATCGTGTGAGGTGTGAGGCATGAGCGGCCTAGGCTCTTGGTTTCGCCTCGTTGATGGCCGCTGCAGCTCGCCCGCTCTTTGCTCTTTGCCTCAGTGTCCTTTCGCACAATGGAGTAGGGTGGCATGGAACAGCTCGGGTGCCACATCTGTGACCGATGTAGCCTGCGGGTAGACGTGAACTGGGGTCTGAGAGGGAAGGTTGGTTGAGAAATAATGATACCTGCCAGGGCGCAGCTTCTTGATTCTTTCCAGCTGTAGGTATAAGTCTGAGCTTCTTTAAGTGCTCTTTGTATGATTGAATTTATGAATTGAATTTATCAGTAGTTGGCTTGGTTTTTTTTTTTTTTTTTAAAGATTTTATTTATTTATTTGAGAGAGAGAGTGAGAGAGAGAAAGAGCACAAGAGGGGGGAGCGGGAGAGGGAGAAGCAGACCCCCCGCCGAGCAGGGAGCCCGATGCGGGACTCGATCCCGGGACTCCAGGATCATGACCTGAGCCGAAGGCAGTCGCTTAACCAACTGAGCCACCCAGGTGCCCCAGTAGTTGGCTTGTTGAGTGGTTCAAGTGTTTTGGCGTGTCCTCGCCCATTGGTTTTCAGGGAATCTCCCAATTCCAGAGCTAGGAGGAGTCCTAACAGTTCTCTCCTGTGGTTACGGATGAGGAATCAGAATGGTTTTTGTTCTCTTCCCTAGCCACAGACTAAACTGATTTCAGTCAACTGTCAAATACAGGTCTTACTACCATCAGAACATAAATGACTATCTCTGAGCAGGTTAGTATTTCAACTGGAAACCTCAGATGGATTCTAGGCCTTTTTTAAATGATTGGCAGATTAGGTGTACCGAGTTCAAAATTTCTGTTGGTTTCTCTGCATGAAATGAAGATGGCTACAAATAACTTTTGATTACTAAGAATTTTTTTGGTGGAGCTTCCTTGTGGGGGCGGGGCTGTGGGACTAGCAAAGTGTGTTTTAAACTTTGTTTGACCTGAGACCCACAGTTAGATACATTTACATTATGACTTAATGTGCTCCCAGCATGCACAGAGTACACACATACAGCCCAAAAGTTTACCCTTTCTGCATATGATGCCCTTTGACATTTTCTGTATCATTAAAAGAAAAAAAGTTGATTGCAGCTCACTAAATTGACGGCTAATATGACCGCTAAAGACCTGTAGTTTGAAAAACAATGGGCTAGGGGCGCCTGGGTGGCTCAGTCGTGAAGCGTCTGCCTTCGGCTCAGGTCATGATCCCAGGGTCCTGGGATCGAGCCCCACATTGGGCTCCATGCTCCGCAGGAAACCTGCTTCTCCCTCTCCCACTCCCACTGCTTGTGTTCCCTCTCTCACTGTGTCTGTCTCTGTCAAATAAATAAATAAAATCTTTAAAAACAAAACAAAAAAACTTTGCTGAAAAACAATGGGCTAGAAAATGTTTAAGATAATTTGTAATTCCTGAGATGCTGTAACTAACGTAAAGTGAAAAATGTGTCCTTTTCCTATCCTTAATAGCCAGAGGAGCAGGGGTGCTAGAGTTATAAACAATGCGAGAACAACAGGACAGGACATTCACATTGTCAAAGGAATATAGTGATAGTGTGTCAGAATTTTAGCAAGACATTTGTTAAGTCTTTTATGATGACCTGGTGGGTGAGATAGGGGAATTTGCCAGATTGTGGTAAAATTAGATGGAATCCTGGTTTTGAACATCAGGGTCTGGAGGGGTTTGATTTATGGATACAGCTTAGAGTTGGGATTCTGGTGGGTTGAAGCTGTATCACTTTCTTTATATACAGTGTGTATTTTAAAGCCTTATCTGGAAGGTGTGCTTATCAGATTTGTTACCTTTATGAAGTGAAGAGAGAAAATATCATCTGGTTAATTGCAAGATTTGTCCAATGCAGTTTAATGAAATGGAAGGGTCATATACATGTGAGAAATTTCAGTTGGGTCCAAAAAGTGCAATTATACTAGTTGATGAAGGTAGAGATGTGACTTAGAAGGGGTTCAAGTGGAGTCTCAATTCATCTGAATCAGTGATGTGGTTAGAACTGAGGTGACCTGTGGTAGTAGATTAGATTAGGAGAATATAGAATCTAGAAGAAGAAGGTTGACCCCAGCCCTGGTTGGTTCCATCCTGGAGTATTAGGTTTATGTCTGGGTATGCTACAAGAGTAAATTAATTTGGGGGTAGAAGTTAAAAGGAGTTGGAATTTGTCAAATTTTCAAAAATAATTTTTTATTGGCTGTCTGAAGATATGGTGGAGTTGCTTTGGCATGAATGATTCTTTTTCCCTTGTTACTCAGGTCTTAAAACATTTTTTAGTGTTTAGAACATTAGAAAATCTATGTATCTCTTACACATTAAGTTGGCATTTGAAATTTTTTCATCATAAATTTGAGTAGTTTAAATAGTTTAGGATGTAATTTTTGACGTGTAAATATTGACTTTAAAAAAAATAAATACAAAGGATGCCTGTGTGGCTCAGTTGGTTAAGTGTCTGCCTTCGTCTCAAGTCATGATCCCAGGGTCCTGGGATCGAGCCCCGTGTCGGGCTCCCTGCTTGGTGGGGAGCCTGCTTCTCCCTCTCCCTCTTACTTCTCCCCCTGCTTGTGCTTGTGTGCTCTTCTATCTCTGTCAAATAAAAAAAAATAAAATGTTAAAATAAAAATAAATAATAAATACAAAGTTATCTAAATACACAATTCACTGTTTTTATTTAATTTTATTTTTTAAGTAGCTCCATACCCAATGTGGGGCTTGAACTCACAACCCCAAGATCCAGAGCCACATGCTCTACTGACTGAGTCAGCCAGGTGCCCCTTGATGTTTTTAAAATGTACAAATGACCTTTTCTATATTAAAAAAAAAAACAAACCCTCTAAGATATATATAAGATATGTGTAAATGGTGTATTACATTGCTTGAATTTTGGATGTTAAACCAATCTTGTGTTCCTGGATTGAACCCCACTTAGTCATGGTGTATATGTTTTTTATATGTTGCTGAATGTAGTTTGCTAATATTTTGTTTAGGATTCTCATGTCTGTGTTCCTGAGGGATACTGAAGTTTTCTTGTGACGTCTTTGGCTTTAGTATCAGAGTGATAGTACCTTCATAAAATGAGTTTGGAAATGTTTCTCTTTTGTTTTCTGAAAGAGTTTGTGTAGCATTTTTTATTTTTCTATATATTTGATAGAATTTACCAGTGAAGTCTTCTGGGCCTGGGCTTTTCTTTATGGGAAGATTTTTAATTACTAATCCAGTTTTTTTTTTTTTTTAAGATTTTATTTATTTGACAGACACAGCGAGAGAGGGAACACAAGTAGGGGGAGTGGGAGAGGGAGAAGCAGGCTTCCCACTGAGCAGGGAGACCGATGGCGGCCGGATCCCAAGACCCTGGGATCATGACCAGAGCCGAAGGCAGACGCTTAACGACTGAGCCACCTGGGCACCCCACTTTTTTTTTTTTTTAAGATTTTATTTATTTGACAGAGAGAGAGTGAGAGGGAAGCACTAGCAGGCGCACAAGCAGGGGGAGCGACAGGCAGAGGGAGAGAGAGAAGCAGGCTCCCTGTGGAGCAGGGAGCCCGGTGTGGGGCTCAATCCCGGGACCCCAGGATCACGACCTGAGCTGAAGGCAGATGCTCAACCAACTGAGCCATTCAGGCACCCCAGTTTTTTTTTTTATTATTTATTTGAGAGAGAGAAAGTACGTGCATAGGGGGAGGGCAGAGAGAATCTCAGGCAGGCTCCTGAGCGAAGAGCTGGAAGGGGCCCCATCCCATGACCCTGAGATCATGACTTGAGCTGACATCAAGAGCCAGAGGCTTAAATGACTGAGCCACCCAGGTGCCCCACTTTTTTTTTTTTTTTAAAGATTTTATTTATTTATTTATTTAGAGCACAAGCAGGGGGAGCAGCAGAGGGAGAGGGAGAAGCAGGCTCTCCGCTGAGCAGGGAACCAGATTCGGGGCTGGATCCCAGGTGCCTGGGATCATGACCTGAGCCGAAGGCAGATGCTTAACCGACTGAGCCACCCAGGCACCCCCCCTTTTCTTTTTAAAGTTTATTTATAATCTCTACACCAACATGGGGACCTCAAGATCTAGAGTCACATGCTCTACCCACTGAGCCAGCAAGGCACCCCACTAATTCAGTTTCTTTACTTGGTATAGGTCTATACAGACTTTCTGTTCTTGAGTCACTTTTGGTAATTTGCATTATTCTGGGGATTTGTCTATTTCGTATTTTTCCTTTTTTTTTTTTTAAGATTTATTTATTTTAGAGAGTGTGAGAATGCAGGAATGGGAGAGGGAAAGAGAATCTCAAGTGGACTCCATGCTGAGCTCGGGGCTCTATCTCACAACCCCAGCCAAAATCAGGCTTCTAAGGCTCAACCGACTGAGCCACTTCCAATGTGGTTGTGTTCTTCTAAACCTTGATTGGTAGTGAGTCCTATTTGGCCCAGGGGCTGTAGTTTTCAGACTCATGTCCTAAAATAATACATTTTATGGTTGAAAATGTTTTATTGATAATCCAATTATGTGGGCTGATCGGGTTTATGAAAGACTGGAAATTGATTCCTTTGCTTGTTCCTTGAGAGGGAACACATGCAGGGGGAGTGGGCGAGGGAGAAGCAGGCTTCCTGCAGAGCAGGGAGCCCGATGCGGGGCTCGATCCCAGGACCCTGGGATCATGACCTGAGCTGAAGGCAGACGCTTAACGGCTGAGCCACCCAGGCGCCCCTGTAGTTGCATTTTTGTAGTTTTGTTTGGGTAAGAATGGAA